GTTTGTGTTGCCGCGGTGCTAGGGAGCAGTGCTGTGTTGGAGTGAAGTGCTTTTTTTTTCCACATTGAAGTTGTTGTTGTTAGGAACAGGAGGAGACTAGGTCCTGCTTGTCCTCAACCCCATTTACTCACCTTGACTCTGCATCTCTTGAGAGTCCCACCTGTCTCAGAAGGGCTGACTCTCTCTCGGCTACAGGAGTGTAGCAACCAGCTCACCTTTGTCTCGTCTTAAGTGCTCATTCTCCATGCAAAAACTGCATGAGTACTGGGGATGATTTGACCTCAGGAAGCATTGTGCGCAAAGCCGGCGTTGTCTATAGTTTATAGAGTTCAGCTGTGACACAAGTAAATTGTTGAGAAGGGAGTGAATGGACCCCTGACCCGGTGTTTCCAATAGGTGGTGCTGGGCGAGAGAGAGAGAAGGGAATGTAAGTTACCTGCCAAATGCACAGGGAACATCTGCATGGTCTTGTGGGCACAGGAGGTGAAGAAAGGTCAGTGGGCTAATTGCTTAGAAGTCTCACTGGCACCTTTTAGATTTCATCACCGGCTCAAGGGACTAAAGTGGGCTCCTCCTTTGCTCCAATGTCATAGCCCTACACTCTGTTTGCATCAGATTGTTTGTATATTCAAATACCATCCTTTGAACTTGTAATATGATCAAACCTCAAAGGAATGGGAAGGGACCAGCCATGTTGGAAAATAGCTAGGAAAAAGGATCCTCTCCTCTCCACCATCCCATCTACCTCTGCCTCCCAGTCTGGGAGGTGCTGAGCAAGTTTTCCTTTCCTCTGTGCCGTGTGTTTGGTAATGATGGTCAGCACCATGGTGAGAGGGTGAGCTGCTGGCTTGCTGTGTTGTAAGAGGTTGCGCAGTTGGACGTTAAATACGCAGCGTGAAGGCAGAAGGTCCTGGCAATGGTTAACACTTCCACCTCTGCAGCTATCTGATGCCCCAGGAAATGGTGCCCAAGAGGCCGGTTGTCAACGAATGAGATGCCAGGTGAGAGGTCACACGAGACAAGTTACTCTAAGCCATGGCAAACTGGACTTAGCTTTCATTAGTAGAGGGATTGAGTTCAAGAACCGTGAAGTTATGCTCCAGCTGTACAAAAGCCTGGTTCGGCCACATCTGGAGTATTGTGTCCAGTTCTGGTCGCCTCATTATAGGAAAGATGTGGAAGCGTTGGAAAAGGTGCAGAGGAGATTTACCAGGATGTTGCCTGGAATGGAGGGAAGGTCTTACGAGGAAAGGTTGAGAGAGCTAGGGCTTTTCTCTTTAGAATGACAAAGGATGAGAGGTGACTTGATAGAGGTGTACAAAATGATCAGAAGTATAGATAGAGTGGACAGCCAGAGACTTTTTCCTAGGGTGGAAGTCGCTATTACGAGGGGGCATAGTTTTAAAGTGAGTGGAGGTAGTTATAGGGGAGACGTCAGAGGTAGGTTCTTTACTCAGAGAGTGTTTGGGGCGTGGAATGTATTGCCGGAGAGGGTAGTGGAGTCGGCCTCATTAGGGGCATTTAAGCGGCTATTAGACAGGCATATGAGTGAAAGTATAAGGTAGGGATGGAGGTTAGATAGACCTTAGGATTAGGGTAAAAGTTCAGCACAACATCGTGCTGTGCTGTGCTGATCTATGTTCTCTATGTTCTTTGGATGTCACTTGATATAACACTTCAGCTGAAAATGGGAAAATCCTCACTGTAGTTACTTGATGTGGAAAAACAGTAACAGATATTGAAATAAAGGCACTTGTACCAAATCCCGCCACTTCTGTGTTGCTGTTTGATGTTGGATTATCAACACTGAATTTACCGATTAGGGGAGGCCTTTCGAGTCTGCTCCACGATTCACTATTGTCTTGGCTTATCTGCTTGTGTTTCAAGTTCCACCTTCCTATCAATCCCAAAAATCTTTGATTCTCTTGTCTTATACGAATCCATCCACCACTGCCTTTAAAATACTCAATGACCCAGTCTCCACTGCCTTCCAAGGCAGCGAGTTCCAAAGTTTCACAGCCTTCTGAGAGAAAAATAAAATTCTCCTCATCCTGGTGCTGAAGGGGCAACTTTCAATTTTAAAATCAGTGCCCCTAATTCTGGACTGACTAAAATTTTCACCCCCTTGATAAACCCATTCATACCGTCCCTATAACTCTAACCTCTTCCAGCCCATGAATGCTCAGAGAACTCTGCATTCTTACAACTGGGGATCCTCATCCATCCTCAACTTCCTGTACTTCAGCATTGGCGGCTGTATCTTCAGTTAGCTGGGCTCGGAGCTCAGGAATTCCTAGTCTGAAGCTCTCTGCCCCTCCATCTCTCTCTCTCTCTCTACCCCCTCTTCAGGAGCACCTCGAAACCTGTGCCTTTAAAGAAACCCAGTGGCTGCCCCACCTTCTCAATACAGCAAATACCAATGTGTCTGATTATGTGCCTGTGAGGTCCGTTACTATGCTGAAGGAGCTACATGAATGCAATTTTTTGTTGCTTCGCTGATCTAACTCAAACCTGGCCAAGCCTAACCCAGAGTCAAGCTCATGTCCCAGAGTTCAAAATATTTCCATTCCCTAAACACTCTTTTCTCTTCTACGTATCTGAAAAAAAATCTAACGACCAATCTTTAATACAGTTGCACCATATCATAAATAATTACATTTTCTGGTAGCAGCTTCTGACTTCTTTGGAGTTGGAAACTATTATTAAATTATTCGAGGAAAGAATTAAAGTAATGCATATCTTCAAAGTGACAGCTTCTTGTTTTTGCTTCTAACTGAAAAGCAAAGATATTGGCTCTAGCATTTCTCAGTTAGCCGTCGATAATAGTTATGTGAAACAATAATAAACATCAATAGCCTTTTGAAGGGATACAGTTCTGCTATAACCATCCAGGTGCTTTGAGAGATGCATGTCCATCTGAATGTGTAGAGATTCCTTTGGTCAGTTTTTGCCCCTTCCCACATGTGTGGTTCTTCCGGGATTTACCCTGTAGATGCCAGATGAATCTCAGTGTTCCCTGATACCTTGCTGAAATACGTGAAGCTGAGAACGGATGAGAATCTCAAGTTGTAAGAATGGCATCAATCCCAGCCTCAGGTGACTGTCTGTGTGGAGTTTACACATTCTCCCTGCGTCCGTGTTGGTTTCCTCCGGGTGCTCCGCTATCCTCCCACAGTCCAAAGATGTGCAGGTTAGGGTGGATTGGCCAAGCTAAATTACCCATAGTGTTCAAAGATGTGCAGGCTAGGTTGGTTACCCATGGGAAATGCAGGGTTACAGCGATAGGGTAGGGTGTGGGTCTGAGAAGGATGCTTGTTGGAGGGTCGGTGTGGACTCAATGGGCTGAATGGCCTGCTTCCACAATGTAGAGATTCTATCATTACCACCACCTCTAGGGCAATCAAGGTTGGGTATTAAATGTTGGCTTCCCCAGTGATGTCTATGTCCCATGAAAGAGTAAAAGGAAGTCATAGGATATGGACCCAGACCAGCTCTGTGTTCAAATGATATCTGTAAACATGCACTTTCCAGTGGCACTGAACTCGTGTTCTTTAGATTGTGAGTTTAAACTTTTGGATTACTAGCCAATAGCATCTATACTGTACTGTTACATTCTAACATGGTGGCAAACAAAATCTACCCTCCCATTGCCATCCCTGTATGGGTTTTTAAACATGACTCAGTCACAAGTAAGTCACTCAGAGATAGCAAGAACTGTGGATACTGGAGTCAGAGATAACACAGTGTGGAGCTGGAGGGACACAGCAGGCCAGGCAGCATCAGAGGAGCAGGAAAGTCGACGTTTCAGGTCGGGACCCTGGTCAGAGTGTCTGGTATGGTACCTGTGTCTGCGTTGTTTTCCTCCAGGTGCTCCGGTTTCCTCCCACAGTCCAAAAATATGCTGGTTAGCTGGATTGGTCGTGCTAAATTACCCATAATGTTCAAAGATGTGCAGGCTAGTTGGATTAGCCATATGAAATGCAGGGTTACAGGGATAGGGTAGGGTGCGGATCTGGTCCCGACCTGAAATGTTAACTTCCCTGCTCCTCCGATGCTGCCTGACCTGCTGTGTTCCTCCAGCTCCACACTGTGTTGTGTTAGTAAATGAGAATTGATACCACATCTCAATCAATTGTCATACTATGAAATAAATACTAACTTATAACATTTAAATTATAACAAATTATAATAAATATTTAAATTATAGTAAATGCTAAATTAACTAGCTCCAGAATCAACCATCTCTCCGCCACAAGGACAGCAGATATATGGGAACACCACCACCTTCAAGTTCCCCTCCAAGCTACTCGCCATCCTGACTGAGAAATATATCGCTGTTCCTTCACTGTTGCTGGGTCAAAATCCTGGAATTCCCTCCCTAACTGCATCATTGGGGTGACTTAAACTGTAATGACTGCAGCAATTCAAGAAGGCAGCTCACCACCACCTTCTCAAGGGTAACTAGGGATGGATGATAAATGTTGACCCAGCAAGCGACACCCAGATCGCATCAATGAATTCCATGTGTCCCATCTGGTGGCAGATTGAATGATACCTTAATACATTTACATGGCTTTAGTCAGCACAGTGTCTCTTGCATTGATTAAATCTCCAGTACCTTAACTATTTGTTGTCATTGTTTACCTCTGATGTTGGTGACCTTTTTACCTGGCAGACCATAGACCCCTTGTTCATCGCTCCTTCCTATCAACGCCCATTCACTTGCTTGAGCAAGTTGCTCTGGCTAAATACCATTCAGTAGAATTGTGGGAATGAACAACTTGGCTATTTTCGTATTTTTGGCTACAAGACAAACTCACAAGACATTCACAAATGCAACGAAAGCAAAAGCTTTATTCATGAAATTAAAACAGCTCCTAATCCTGTGTGTACATAAAAATAGGGTGGCTTATATCCCCACTTGATCACGTGTCTGGCTCTAATGCTTCGTATCAATGCTCTCCCTTAATATATTAATCTTTTGCATTCTTTTCATACAGGAAGCTGTGGGATCAAAAGATGAAGAATCCCAAAGCCAGGTAATGATCACTAGGCTTTTCAAAGGTGCATCAAACATTATGCTGTAAACAGCAGCTAGCCTGAGAGCCCTCTCGATGACCTCCTTGCATGGCAAATTAAGTTAGTATTTCAACAGCCAAACCAACTGCTTTTTTTTAAACCTTGTCATGAAACAGAAGGTTTTCATTAGACTGCATATAAATGCTAAAAGTTCGGAGCACAGGACAGAGTTTATTACTTGCTAATAACATGATGGTGCTAACTATTTAAAGACTAATTGCTTTAATTGGAAAAATATTTATGAAGAGTGCTTCCTCTTAGCTGTTGCTATTTCATCTACTACTGGAAGGGTCTGTGTTGTGCTGTGGCAGCGTCCTTACTCCTTGAGCAGGACGGCTGAGTTTATGATAACATTGCTGAGCAGGTTGACTAGAAATTAAGTTGTTTAAAAAAATGCCATCGACTGCTGGAGGGTTCTTGTGGCATAGTGGTAGTGTCCCTGCTGCTAGACCAGGAGGTTCAGGTTCAGGTCCCACCTCCTCCAGAGGTGTAACAACATCTCGGAACAGGTTGATTAGGAAAATATCTCGGTTCCTGAATGTGCTGGTGACCTTCAACCTTAAATCAAGGATATTTCTTGTCCGGGAGTCGTGAGACGTGTGCTCTTTCCTGTCGTAGCACAGGACTATATGGTGTAGCTAAACCACTAGCTGAGCCTCCTTTGACAGCACCTTCTACCATCTAGAATGACGAGGGCAGCAGATACAAGGGAGTACTGCCCACAGCAAGTTCCCCTCCAAGCCACTCACCATCCTGACTTAAGGCCATAAGAGATAGGAGCAGAATTAGGCCACTCGGCCCATCGAGTCTGCTCAGCCGTTCTATCGTACCAAAAATGTTTCTCAATTCCATTCTCATGCCTTCTCCCCATAATCCTTGATCTCCTTGAACTTATCTATCCCTGTCTTGAATACACTCGATGGCTTGGCCTCCACAGTACTCTGCAACAATGAGTCTCACAGATTCCCCACTCTCTGGCTGAAGAAATTCCTTCTCATCTCAGTTCTATAAGGTTGTCCCTTCACTTTGAGGCTGTGACCTTTGGTCCTAGTCTGTCCTACTGGTGGAAACATCTTCTCCAGGTCCACCCAATCCAGGCTTGGAAATATATTGCCATTCCTTCAGTGTCACGGGGCTAAAATCCTGGAATGCCTTAACTGACAGCACTGTGGGTGTCCTTACCTCTTAAGGACTGCAGTAGTTAAAGAAGTAGCTCTCCACCACCTTCCCAAGGGGAAACGATGGGGGTGAGCAATAAATGCTGGTCTTGTCCTCACCAACAAATAAACAAAAACTGGATTATTCTTGACCATTAGTTACCTATTCCCTTCACCAACCCCTTTACATTTTACAATTCAAAACGAAAAATGTTTAAAATAAAAAAATTCTAATGCTCATCATTTTTGTCTTGGGAATTGCTCACAGTACTGCCCCGATAGACTAATCTTTAACTTCTGCTTGGTAACCCTGCTGGTGCTATATATTACATATATTTTATACACGTCACATATTGTCCCCCAATCCTGTCCACACCGATAAGCTGGAGGAACCTACCTCTGACCTGTATCTACCTCCACTCTCTTTAAAACCCCTCGTAATAGCTACCTCCACCCTAATTTGAGAAACCTTAACTCCACTTTCCTGCCTTTTCTCCATAAACCTCGATTGCCTTCTTGTCTAAAAATGGATCTGTCTCAGCCCCGCTCAGCAGACGCTCAGGACCCTCGCTGAAGGCTCTTACTTGTAGCTACGCTGAAGCTAAATGTAGCAGGCAACTCCCACAATGCCAAGTCTGAGCCAGACCAGACAGATAACATTGCCATGACTTGGTATCCTGCCTCAAGGGGGATGTGGGTTCCCAACTGAGAAACAGAGGGAAGCCCCCTTTCTTTTAAACAACTGACACTGTGCGGGCCTTGAGCTATCGATTTGTCACCATGCTGATTGGTGGAAGTTCCCAGGAACTGAGGTGTGGCTTGTGGGAAGGCAAGTTAAGCAGGGCTGATTTCCCTCTCTTACCCCTAATAGAAGAGTTTTTAACATTTTAACATTCACTTGGAGTTACAGTATGTCCCGTTACAAGATGTTCTGATGGAATCCAAAGAAATCAAGGGAATGCCAAAATGGATTAATCCAGTTTAAGCAGTTTAAGGTAGTAGGATCCTGTATTGAGGTAACAAGTGGTTAGCGCCATTTTGAAAAACACATGGGCTGTCTGTCCCAGGATAAAGATGGATACACACAGTCAGATTGAGTGTAATTGAGTTGCAGAAAGTAGTGGCCGGATTTGTCATTCTCTGTTTCTGTTTTACCTTTGAAAGGCTCTCCTCAGTCACCAGGAAGAAGAGCTTCTGGATCCACAAGGTGACATGCAACGGCAATGAATCCCATCTCTCCCAGTGCACCATCCAGGTATCCGCTGGGAAGAGACTGCACCCCTGCGAGAATGGCATGCACGCAGTGATCAGCTGTGTGGCAGGACCGGCTTTCACGCAAGGAACTGGGAATCGCTTCAGGAAGGCCTATCAGGCTGAGGTATACCGGAAAAGCCATCGAGCTGAATGAATAGATCACTGAAAGATCATAGAATCATAGAATAGAATCCCTACAGTGTGAAAGCAGGCCGTTTGGCCCATTGAGTTCACACTGATCTGCCAAAGAGCATCCCACCCAGACCCACTCCCGTACCCTATCCCTGAAACCCTGCTTTTCCCAATGGCCAATCCACCTTACCCTGCACATCCCTAGACATTATGGGCAGTTTAGCATGACCAATGCACCTACCCTGCACATCCCTGGACATTATAGACAGTTTAGCATGGCCAATCCACCCTAACCTGCATATCCCTGGACATTATGGACTGTTTAGCATGGTCAATCCACCCTAACCTGCATATCCCTGGACACTATGGGGCAATTTAGCATGGCCAATCCACCTAACTTGCATATCTTTGGATTGTGGGAGGAAACCAGAGCACCCAGAGGAAACCCACGTAGACACAGGGAGAATGTGCAAACTCCACATAGACAGTCGCCTGAGGCTGGAATCGAACTCAAGTCTCTGGTGCTGTGCGGCAGTAGTGCCACCCACTGAGCCACCATGCCGCCCCTATCCTCTGTGGCATTGCTCATGAGCATAGCCTCTGTGTACTGGGGGAAGGGGATGGTTCTGTTCACACATTGGATCTCTCTCCTACTGCTCGCATTGAAGGGATTTGGTCTTCAGGTGTTGCAGAACCAGTGGAGAACAGTTGCAGTGTTTAGCTGTGAACCTGTCCCATCCCTTTAAGTTCCATTGGGAATTCCAACCGCTCAGAGTCAAGGCTATTTCACCTCCTAGGTGCACTGAATCTCCGGCCTGGTAATTTACCTCTGTCCCTTAAAGCTGTGAACTGTCTTCCGACCAAATACCCATCCAGTTCCTCATCAGTTAACCTGCAATCTGGCTTTGCTGGAAACCCTATTTGAGAAATACTCTCCCTTTTGGGGGAAAGTTACTTTGACCTCGGTAGTATGCACTCTTGAGGTCAGCACATGCAAAACAGAGACATGGAGCCAGTGTGGGAGTGGGAGTGTTCCGTGTGAGTCGGTTACTTTGAGCTGCCAAGTCACCAGTTTTCCAAGACCATGCCATCCATGAGCCATTTTCGGGAAGGGCAGATAGAGCATGGAGTGGCCCCCCCACCCAGGGGGACCAGTTAGCTTGGCAAAGTTAACATGAAGGAATTACCCAGGAGGCTTTGGGCACTGTCAAGGGTGTGGTAGATGCCTAGAGCAGATCAGCGCGGGGGCAACAAACCCAGTTGGGAAGAGGAGTCATACTGATCTCGAAATATTAACTGCGTTTCTCTCTCCACAATGATGCCAGACCTGCTGCGTTTCTGCAGCATTCTCGATGTTTCTTTCAGATTCCCAGCATCCACATTTTGCTTTTATTCTGTCAAACAGATAGACCGAGAGTATCTACACTCCAGGAAGACTTTTGCCTCCCCACTTACACCTTGCCCTCCTGGCCTTTCCCCATCCAATGGTGGCCCTGTACTATGATTTAGAATATTTTAAGATAGCTGAGAGGCTGGACTATGTGTATAGCAGTGGTGTCCATACTTAAGGCATGGTTTTTTTAAAATTTATTCACGGAATGCGGGTGCTACAGGCTACACCAGTATTTATTGCCCATCCCTAATTGCCCTGAGGGCATTTAAGAGTCAACCACGTTGCTGTGGGTTTGGAGTCACATGTAGGCCAAACCAGATAAGGATGGCAGTTCCCTTCCCTAAAGGACATTAGTGAACCAGATGGGTTTTTCCGATAATCGACAATAGATTCATGGTCATCATTAGACTCTTAATTCCAGATTCTTTATCGAATTCAAATTCCACCATTTACCGTGGCAGGATTTGAATCTGGGTCACAGAACAGAGTCTGAGGAAGGGTCACTCGACCTGAAACGTTAACTCTGATTTCTTTCGCAGATGCTGCCAGGCCCGCTGAGCTTTTCCAGCAATTTCTATTTTTTTCCTCACCAGAACATTAGCTGGGTCTCTGGATATAGAGTCTGGTGATTATACACCAGGCCATTGCCTCGTCGGAGTTAATATTTCAGAGACAGTTCAGAGAAGGTTGACTGGATTAATACCTGGACTGGGTGGGTTGACTTGTAAGGAAAGGTTGGGCAGGTTCGACTTGTATTCACTGGGTTTAAGAATTTAAGGGGTGATTTGCTCCAAACAAACTGAAGAGTCATGACAGGGATAGACATGGAAAGAGTGCTCCCTCTTGTTGGAAAATCTAGAATCAGAAGTGGCTGTTTCAAAATCAGGAATCATCTGTTCAAGTCAAAGACGAGAAGAAATGTTTTCTCTTGAGGAAGATTTTTCCAAAGACTCTCAATCCTCAGAGTCAGTGGAAGCAGAGTCCTTGAAAAGTTTTATGGCGGAGGTAGATAGATTTTTTTTATTGGAGGGGGTGAAAGGTTTAGATAGATTTTTGTTATTGGAGCGGGTGAAAGGTTGAGATAGATTTTTGTTATTGGAGGGGGTGAAAGGTTGAGATAGATTTTTGTTATTGGAGGGGGTGAAAGGTTGAGATAGATTTTTGTTATTGGAGGGGGTGAAGGGTTATCAGCAGTAAGCAGGAATGTGGAGTTGATGTTACATCCAGATTAAATGGAGAGCAGAGTGGAGGGGCAGAGTGGCGTCATTTTGCCCCTCATTTGAAAGATTCTTTATTTATTTATGGGATGAGGGCTGTGCTGTCTAGGCCAGCATTTATTGCCCATCCCTAATTACCCGGAGGGCAGTTAAGAATCAGCCACATTGCTGTGGGTCTGGAGTCACATGTAGGCCAGACCAGGTAAGGATGGCAGTTTCCTTCCCTAAAGGACATCAGTGAAGCAGATGGGTCTTGAGGTTGGTTGGCTTGCCGAGCTGGTTTGTTGTTCCGCAGACATTTCGTTACCGTGCTTGGTAACATCCTCAGTGCAGCCTCTGATGAAGCGTCGGTGTGTTTTCCCGCCTGGTTTTTAAACTCTGGGGTCCGTTGCGATGGATTGCCTCACTTCCGGGTTTCCTCCGTAGTGAAATGTATATGGGGTCGAGTTCAATGTGTTTATTAATAGCCTGCTTCGTGGAGGGCCATGCTTCCAGGAATTCTCGTGCTTGTCTCTGCCTAGCCTGTCCTAGGATCTTGGTGTTGTCCCAGTCGAAGTCATGGTTCTCCTTGTCCATGTGGATGGAGATGAGTGAGTATTGGCCGTGTCTTTTTGTAGCCAGTTGGTGTTCATGTATCTTGTTGTTAGTTTCCTTCCTGTTTGTCCGATGTAGTGTTTCTCACAGTCTCTGCAGGGGATCTTGTAGATGACATTGGTCCTGTCCATGGCGGGGAGTGGGTCTTTAGTTCGGATGAGCACTTGTCGTAGGGTTGATGTGGGTTTGTGTGCCACTCTGATGCCCAGCGGTCGTAGGAGTTTTGTGGTGAGTTCTGACGTGTTCCTGATGTAGGGTAGTGTGATGAGTGTGTCGGAGCGTGTAGAATCTTTCTGATGCTGTTCCTGTAGGCATCTCCTGACCCAGTTCTTTGGATATCCTGACAATTGGTCTTTCCTGACAATTGACAATGGAAACATGGTCATTAGTAGGCCATCAATTCCAGATTTTTTAAATTGAGTTTACGTTCCACCATCTGCTGTGCAGGATTTAAACCCGGGTCCCCAGAACTTGATTCATCAGTATGTTTGTATGGGTACTTCAAGATAGAGGTGTCCTGTCTCCCTCTGTCTTGCTAGCAGGGCAGTTTGTAACACCTTCCATGCTAAAGAGCCTCTCATTGGCTGAATGGTTTTGGGAGCTTGCCAAGGTTATGAGTAGGATAGTATGGAGTCACAACTGAGCAGACAACGTGGGTTGGTCACCCATATCTGAACCCGACATCAGCGGCCCAGCTCCAAATGGAAACTCCTGACCACAAATTATGTTGTTCTCACTTTCCTTCCATCCCCTTTCTTTGACATGCCATCATGTTGGATTTCAGACTCGCCCTCTCTTTGTTCTGCACTCACAATCTGACGCCCCCTTCCTCGTTACCTCCCTAGCTTCGGAAGCAATCCCAGCTCCGACAGCCTCTCTTCCCAAAGCCCGTTCTAAGTGGCATTGCAAACTGAGTGGAAGGTGAAAGGACACAGGCCCCTTGAGAAAGGAAACAGGGCAAGTAGTGCACTTCCCTGACCAAGTAGTGCGCTTCCCTGACCAAGTAGTACGCTTCCCTGACCAAGTAGTACGCTTCCCTGTCCAAGTAATCAGTATTGGAGCTGGGGAGTGATGGTCCCTCAGGCCAATTCCACATCTGCACAAGGGCGGAGACTTGCTTGTGTGGAGAACGTGTGAACGTGCACAGTCCCACGCCTGAAACACAGGCTGCCATCTTCCCACATGTAATTAAACCAAGCCAAAAATTGCTCCTGTATTTAAAGAAACACATTTACAAATAACATCCTGTCTAAGGCATTGGATTTCACATCACAAGGAACTTGGCCCAAGGGCTACTTGTGATCTCATGGAGTTTGGGTTCGAATCGCCGTGGTGTTTGGTGGAGCTTTGGGCAGGAGTTAATCTTGCAATGTCTACAGCAATGTGAGACAGGTTTTTTTCTGTTTTTTGGCCAATTATCTCCTGTCACTTCTTGGCAGCTCTCATTACTGAATGGATTCTGCAGCTGGAGGCCAGCCCTGCTGAGCGACGATTTCCCTCCTCCTTAAGATCATAGACTGTGGGCAAGCAGGCTATTCGGCCCATTGAGGCCACACTAGCTCTCTGAAGAGCATCCCACCCACATACTCTATCCCCTTAACCCTGCATTTCCCATGGCTAACCCACCCAGCCTGCATGTCCCTAGACATTCTGGGCAATTTAGCACGGCCAATCCACCTAACCTGCACATCTTTGTGACTGTGGGAGGAAACCGGAGCACCCGGAGGAAACCCATGCAGACACGGGGAGAATGTGCAAACTCCACACAGTCAGTCGCCCGAAAGTGGA